GGGCTTTCGTATCGTGACGTATGATAGATTTTTTTCAGCCACGTTTGTTATTTTATGATTAATTTTATATTTGAATGCTGATTTTTTTCAGCCATTTTTGTTGTTCGTGATTAATTTTATTTTAAGTGCTGGCCGCTGCGATTCATGTTGATATAATGTTTCCTCTCTATTGCAGAGTAAAGTAAGAAGTAAAGTAACAGCCTATATATGTATATAGGCTGTTACTTTACTGTTTGTTACTTTTTATTTTACTCTGCAATAGGTTAAACTAAAGTAACAGCCTGTACATGTCCTACTGCTGGGCCAAGGCCCCCTCTATACTGAGGGTATCAGGGCATAGTCCACCACGCGACCCCACTGCGGATTGGCGGACTCTGCAATAGAGACAAAACATTATATCAACATGAATCACACATCCCACTACTGGTCAAAAGGCTCCCCTGTTCAGAGGGTATTAGGGCATAGTCCATCGCAACCCCACCGCTGAAATGTATATAAATTTTTGTTATTATGTTGAAAGTATGCAGGTCTACTCACTATGTTTTCCTTCGCCGCTGAGCAAGTGATGCATTACTTAAAATTAACAATTACATGGGTTCCCGCGCCGTAATGTGAAGTCAGTTTGCTCGAGTATATAAAATTAGAAGCGAGCGCAAAAACACTGAGCCATCACAGCTCTATGCATACTTAAATATGCTAAATTCCTTTTTTTTTATTTTGAACTGGCCAGCACTTGACTGATGGTAAGTGGCGATGCAGTCTTTGATGGTAAGCGCGCGCCTTTTTATCAATTTCATAAATGGCAGCCACCGCTGGTAACCAAGGGTACCACGCCGCGTGGTTTAAATTATTTAGTATTTGTCCATATCGTATTTATGGTTTCAATAAAAATATCAAAAGAAACGTGAATTTATATAACTGAATTAAAAAAAAAAACAAAAATCCAACGGCTGTGACATTGCTTAATCAAAAACAACATTTGTCTATGCCCGCTCACTAATTATTATCTGTGGCGGACAAAGCGCGCTCTCCGACACGCGGTCTGGCCCCGCTTTTGGGCTTGTCCCGCCATCCGTCACCGAATTCTCTCGCGCTTTCGAAGATGTTCAACGGTGTTGCCATTGTGCGTGTGACTAATGTGCTGGTAAATAATAACCGCTTTGTGGGGGGATTACAGCGGAACGTGTGGTTAACACGGCCCACTTTCGTGTTTTGCCTCGCGCTCGTCCGTTTGACTGATGACGCTCGAATTCCTGACGAGTTGGCGCTGGATGCTTATCCGGTGACATTTAGACGCTCTTCTATCCATCCGTCTCGCTCGTTTCTTTCGATTTGAAAGGGAGAACCCGATTCACGTCTAATGAGGGATGTTCCCGTTCATATATTTGTTAGACCTTACCATTGTTTAGTTAATAAAGTACTACGACGTCACAGAAGACCGGCGTGAGGTGGAAGTGTTATACTTCTGCGATTCGTATGGTGAGTGGGGTAACCGGGGTACACTTTATTAAAAGATGACAACTTATCAGTCGTTGCAAATGTCCTTGAGCGGCGGTTATCACTTAACATCAGGTGAACCGCCAGCTCGATTGCCGCCTTCTCACATAAAACAACTCTCTTCCTTTGACATCTTCTCACAAAAGTGTTCTTCTTGCGCAGAATTATCTTTTCAACTATTCAGACATATTTTTTTGTCAGACGCAGGAACCACCTTTTAAATATTCATTAGCCGCTAGTAAAACACCTCACGCTAGGAGTGAGCCGCCGCGGAGCACAAATTAGAATTTTATTTCAATCATATTTCCGTCGTATGTAGATTAAGATACCGCTTCTCAAACTGTTTTCAATTCAATTCAAAATATATTTATTCGCATAGACGCGTAGTGCGCGTAGATGCAAGCGTCTATGTGAATAAAGATTTATTATTATTAGGGGACATGTCTCCTGCGCCAGATGGTGTGCTTTATATATTGTGTGATGAACATAGTGTTTATCTAGTGTCTGTATGTTTAAGTACGTTAATAAGTTAACTAGTACCCTTAGAACAAGCCTTGCATATTTAAACAACACTTTGAACGTACATTGAACCCAACTGACCTCTATAAACCCAAATAGCTTAGGAGGAACTAAATAATTTTAACAACACTTTGAATTACTACCACAAAGCGACAAAATCAAAAGACCTACAGACTAGTAGTATTCTATACCGATCGCAATAAACTAACCAAAATTAAATAAAACATATTTCAATAAAATTTTATTCCCGTATCCCAGTACTACTATTTATTCGTGAAAAAGACATTAAAAAAAAACAATTGCTTTTTTATGTGAGAGAGTGGCAAACGAAGAGGCGGTTCACCGATGTTAAGTGAATACCGCCGCCCGTGGACTGGAAATGCGTTGCTATCTTTACCTAAAGTGGGCCCCGGCTACCTCACTCACCAGAACGTACGTAGAACGTAGAAGTGTAACATGTCTACTTTGCGCCGGTCTTCTGTGAGGTCGTCGCACTTATCCGGGCGGACCTGTCCATTAATGCAACAGTGAACACTGTTGCGTGGCCCTACCACAGTTAAGTTTCGTGGCCCTACCACAGTTTGGCGAGCGCTGGCCGGTCACAGCATAAATCGAAGGTCCGTAGCACAGGAGCCGCGTTCACAGCGCATTAGCATAACGCGATTAGTACAAATTACGTATCCGATGAATTTATTGCGCTCGCCCGGTGTAGGACGTACGAGAAAGCCGCGTATTGAACGGTGATAATTTATCTCAGACGAAAGTGATGACGTCAACCGAGTCTGATGCCAGATTGGTGTCGTCTTTTGACGACAGATTGGTCTCCGACAATTTCGTCGCCATTTTAATTTTGCTTAGTACCAATCATGAATCTGTAATTTGGACCAATCGTGATCGGTATCGAACCTGGTAGGCCAGTGGCTTCTTCACTTAACAGTACATGTGCCCACTTTTAGCACGTGTCGGTTATGACATATATATGCGCTTGTGTGTGCCTACATATTATTAACAATATACTCTGACAGTGTCACCAACACGACCAAATGTGCGGGAAGCATAGTATGCTCAGGATTGTGCTTTCTGGCAGTCTATGTGGGAGGCCTATGTTCAGTAAAGGACTCAAAAAGGCTGAAATGATGATGAAGATGATGATACTCTAACGATAACAAAGCAAATTATCTGGTGAAACTATTCCTCTCATTATGGCGACAAAAACGCTAACATCATATATCCGTTGAATATAAGTACTCCATGAGTTACAGTCGATTATTATCAACGTTTATTAACGACCATGTACATGGGAATATCAAAGTGTTTTCATTACAAACGATTGAAGCAAATATGAGAAATTATCATTTGATATTGTTTAGTAAAGACGGTGTCAAATTTGAGACCTACCATAGAAATTTCTAGAACGGCAGCTGATATGCGTTGAAACGGTAACGGAAGCTGACTTAGCAGCCGGCCCTCTTCATGGACCGATTACCATTTTAATTTCCTCATACGCACGTAGGAGCCGCGATAGTTCAGCGTCCGAGCGCTCGCTTCTATTTCGTTATACTAGAGTGACCCAATTTCATTTCCCGGTGCCGGCACCAATGAAATTGTCAATTTTAAGTGCTGATTTATCACTTGCTCAGCGGCGAAGGAAAACGTCGTGAGGAAACCTGCATACTTTCGACATAATAACAAAAAAAAAAACTGTTTCCAAAATATGTGAAGTCGACGATAATCCGCAGTGGAGCCGCGTGGTGGACTATGCCCTAATACCCTATGTACAGAGCAGACCTTTGCCCAGCGGTGGGGCATGTATAGGCTGATACTATACCTTATATGCACGTTGGAAGAAGTCGATTGTACAGCATATCCACTTCGCAGTGAAATCAGAAACCATGTAGGATGTTGTATGCCTTCCTCTTCTTTTCTTCTTCTTCCGCCATTTGTCTTTTACCTCTTATTGAAATATGCCTATCTAAGGTCTCTTCGCAGTTTAAAGCTTCGGAGCAGGCATACCCTGTAATCCCATACAAACATGCCCAAAAATTCCTATAGCCACGTGTATATTAAAGTGATCGTTTACAGCTGATATCAATTGTTAATGATAATTTTACATGAATTCTTTACTCTCCGTGTTTATTGAGTTCCAAGTGTACGTTCTTTGCCATTTTCGTTTTGTTTTACTGTAGTGTGTACTTGTATAATTTTTTCTTTCTTTAGTTTTTATTACACATTCTTTTCGTTGCGTGCGTATTTTTTTGGTAAATAAATTTATTTCCTTTCTTTCTTTCAATCATTGGTGAGTGATTTCCCTGTCTGAAATCTGTGCACGCTTCTGCGTCCAAGTTCGAACAATTAAAAAGTTCTGCTGTTCAAGTCACATTTTTCAATACTCTCCAATATTTCGCCAATACCAGACGGTTGGGATTAAGTTGGAGTCACTTCAAGAGAAACAAAGCCTATATTTGCATGTTGTTGACTTAAAATCGGTAGTTTGGAAAAAACGGCCAAGTGCAAGTCGGAAGGATTCCGTACCATATCTGTAAAAACGGCAAAAAAATCTTGTCTATTGTATGAGAAACACACTTGTACATTGTTTTTTATTCTGTTTTTAGTATTTGTTGTTTATAGCGACCACAGTATTGCATCATCTGTGAAAATTTCCACTGTCACGGTCCATGAGATACAGCCTGGTGACAGACGGATAGACAGACAGACAGACAGACAGCGGAGTGTTAGTAATAGGATCCCGTTTTACCCTCTGGGTACGGAACCCCGAAAAAGACTTGTCAGTTCAAGTAAAGGAACAAATTCACTGTAGTTATTTAGAATTAGTTATTAATTAGTTGCAATTAACTCCACGGGTATATTAATTTAATGTAACGAAACCACAATGATTTTTCGAACCCAATACGTCACATTACCCAACCCCCACCTCTATTCGACCTTGTCTGACATTCGTTTGACCTTCATTCGACCCCCTACAGGCGTGAACCCCCGGAAGCAGCGCCGCGAGCGGACCACCTTCACGCGCGCCCAGCTGGACGTGCTGGAAGCGCTCTTCGGGAAGACCAGGTACCCGGACATCTTCATGAGGGAGGAGGTGGCGCTCAAGATCAACCTCCCCGAGTCGAGGGTGCAGGTGAGAAGGCCACGGCGTCCGTAAACTGGCCTATAACTTAAGACTTAAGACATAGGACACTCATTCCGACAGTTCATTACATGTCACATTTAGTTACCATGTTTAAAATAAAAAAAATAACATAAAAGTCCGCCAATTTGGCCTGATACCCTCTGTACAGAGGACGCCTCTGCCTAGCAGTGGGACATGAATTGGCCGTTACTTTTTTTTACTATGAAAGTAATAAAAAAATAAGTGAAAGCAAAACAATAGTAAAAGGAATTCATAAATAACAAAGCAGAAGACATTTTGTTGTTATCTTAAATTAATTGACTATGTTATGACGTAGCGACGGACAGGACCGTCTCGGCATATGTCGCGATTTTCTCTTATCCCTTCTTCCTTGACAAAAATCAACGACGTTTAGCTGAGTTAGGGCCACGCAACGGAATGGGCAGGTCCGTCCGGGCTAAGTACCACGACCTTACAGAAGACAGGCCTAAAGTGGGAGTGTTATACTTTCGTGTTTCGACTGGTGAGTGAGGTAGACGGAGCCAAATTTTTTAAAGGTATCTTCAGTTAGTCTATAAGAAAACTATTCAAGTTTCATTCCAATAAATTAAGTATGCAAGTCGTAGGGTAACTTTGAAAGGATTTTACATATCTAGTACGTAATAGTATAGACTAGGACTAATAAAATAACCGGTTTTTTTTACTACTCTAGGCTTCCATCATCATCGTCCTTGAGATAACGAAATCTCATAACAATTGTATCTAATTTGTCAACCTTCGTTACCTACCAATCTAAAGCTACAAATATCCCAACGATCCAGTATCCAAAACTTGACAGCGTTTGATTAAAATATTATCCGACATCAAAGTAATGTTAACAAAAGCCTGCCACAAATCATGAACCAAATTGCTGCTAATAATTCTACGCAATAGAAAATCGTGCCGGTAACAAAGCACCGTATATTAACTTGAACTATAACATAAATTGGTGAATATTTTATCGAGACTACCGCAGTCCTGCCCAGCTTGCGCAATTTTCAATTAACTTGGGAATTCCTAATGCGTAATAGGAAATTACGCATCGCGGGGGGCGAACCTGAGAGGCACTCTGGAGACCTTACTCCGTAGAACTTAGACGGATGAGTGAACATCGACCCGACGTTGCTCCCAATTTATAGTCGACACGGGCGAGGCATTAGCGCGCACAATCGAATTACGCGTTCCGAGTTTGAAATTCGAAAATCGAATCATCCAATCCGCCCCATTGTTCGACAGGGCATTATCCAATGCGAGGAGAGATCCTTTTGAACATGTTCCGGCAATTTTCGATGTAAAAGCATTAAATATTACAGCAAATCCCCTTGAACGCTAAGACGATCGCTCATTTATTATGCAATTGATCGCGGGCGCTCTCTTACGTTTTTTGTTTTCGCTCTACGCGTCAATACAGATCCAGTGAGAGAAATTTCCACCGCCATGTTGGTTTTTTTCTTTTTAATAAACGTCATCGTTTAGTCGGCTGCTTTCGCTTCAGAAACATAATATTTTCTCTAGTCTCCCGCTCCACTGCGCGACTCATATCGGTGCATTATTTAGCGTCCAAATGACGTACAACTGGCCGGAGAACTTTACTTTTTTTTTCAAATCACCAAGCGCATCCGTCTTCCTAATTTGAAAAATTCATGTTGCGAAAAATTATATCATTTAGCTTCGCTTTATAGCGCGTCAAGACCGTTAATTAGCATGCTAAATGTAGCAGTTACTTTGATTTTATTTCGCTTTTATCTGCGCCGGCAATCTAACTGCGTACCCTTCGTAATTTTTATTGTTGAGAGAGATCTGATAGTGTCGGAAGAGGCGCGTTTAATTGAATAATAGTGATCATTGCCACAGATAACGTTAAAGGCGTTAGCCCGGTGTTAATTTATTTCTTATCTGTAGAACTTTACATGCCGTATAATGTTTAATTTTGCAAGCAACGCGCAATAAGTTGGTAGTGGACTAGTTTTCGTGTACTAAACAGTTTAATTAGCGTTCAAATTTTACGATATTATTTTATTCGATTTTCAAATGAAAAATAACATACAAATTGCAATGGAATAATTTTAAATTTACTATAGTAGGGCCATGCAACAGTCTTGATGTTGCACTGATGGGCAGGTCCGTCCGCGTAAGAAACACAAACTCACAGAAGACCGGCGTGAAGTGGATGTGTTATATTTCCGCGTTTCCTCTGTTGAATGAGGTATCCGGAGCTCACATTCAAAAGCGGCAACTATCGCAATATAGCATGCAATTTCTGAATATCAGAAACGACAAGTTGACGCGTCCAAATGCGAAGTCTAATTTCAAATCGGATAGCAAATCCGGCCTCTCCACTCTTAAAATCAATTAGCCTCGGCAAATCGCTAACAGTCATCGCAAAAGCGCAATCCGTTGCCCCCAATTAGCGTGGGTCCGATACGTGCCCCTCTTATGGGCCCTGCGCTTCCGAGATAGCCCGTTGCGCAAGTCGCCGAAACGTCAAGTCATGCTATCCGGCCTCTTTCGCCACAGCCTACGTTTTGATCGTAACGGCAACAGTAAACAGGGTGGCTTTTATAATGGTGCCCAAATTCATACGGGAGGCTCAGACTCGGTAGTATAATCGTTTATTGAAATAACAACAAACTTTTTTTTTTTTTTCAAAAAATTGCCATTCTATTCCCTAAAAAACAGAACTTGTCTACAATGCGGTAGTCATTCATAAATGCGTCGTATACTTTTGAAACGAATTTGTACGCGTGTTAGTTATGAATGATCGCGCGTAAAATAAATGAGTTGCCCATAAATCATGCTGTTTCTGAATTAAGTTCAAATGAATGTAATTAATTAATTAAGAGTGATTTTAAATATTTATCATTTTTATATAACATTATTTAGGTCTACAATTTAATTAAAAAAATGGATACACTTAGAAAAGCCTCCCTGTATATCGGCTATGGGTGGAGCAGTATCTATATTATAGTACCCAATGATATTTTATACCATAGACTACCGACCCGCCCCGGTTTCGCACGGGTGCAATGCTAAATGTTTGTTTTCGACATCGCATTACAGAGACCTTTAAAATTATCAGTGCTTTTCTACCATATTATGCATGCATTATACATATAAACCTTCCTCTTGAATCACTATCTATTTAAGAAAACCGCATCAAATCGCGTTGTGTTAAAGATATAGCATATACAGGGACAGACAGATAGTGGAACGACATTGTTTTGTGCTATGTAGTGATATGTTATAGGCATACAAAATCTCCGGTCGAAAAGTGTTCCTACTTCCAAACAGAACACATTCAAACGCTTCGTTCGAACGGTATGAAAAGGATAGGGTAATTAAAGCAATAAGAAAAAACACTGAAGAATGACGTAAAGTGTTGGTTCCGTACCCTTATTGAACTTATTTGGTGCCTCTTTGTTGGCCGCGAATTTCTCATTTGGGTAGTTTCCGTGGCTTCACTCTGGGCTCTTAACCATAGACATCAGCTGATGGATTTGATAATATGAATTAAACAGTCTTTATCCTAATTTCTTATTTAGATTTACGGTGGTAGAGTCATGCAGTAGCCTCGGCTGTTGCACGAATGGGCAGGCTCGTCCGGGTAAGTACCACGACCTCACAGAAGACCGTTGTAAAGTATATTACTTTCGCGTTTCGTCTGGTGAGTGAGGTGGCCGTAGACCAATTTTCAAAAAGTTGTCAACACATCTGCAACCCTCGGGTGTATCTGATGTCCATGGGCGGCGGTATTCACCTAACATCAGGTGAACCGTCTGCTCGCTTGGCAACTTTTCACATAAAAAAAAAGATAGATAACATGAAAACAATTTAGATAAAAGACGTTGAGATTTTCGTGGGTGTGGCAGTCAGCCGTTTAGTGGCTAAAGCGTCAGGGCGCGAATCCCGAAGTACTTTTTACTACTAATTTTAATGTTTAATCTAAGTGCAGAGATTAGAACTATCATAATTTAGATTTCTGATACATAACATATTTTAAGATTTTTAACATTCAAATTCTTATTCTCAACAAAAAACAAAACTCACATAAAACATCTCGATATACTGGTCAAAAACAAATTAATTGGCCTTTTAATAGCAACATTGATTTTAGATTTTGATTGGACATGGTATATTAATACTTGTCAAACTTTTTAAAGTCGACGATCCCGACTGTTTCAATGTTCACGAATCTTCTAATGCTAATTGCAATTAATTCTGCTCATATTAAAACAACTGAGCACAAATGAATGATGAAATATTACAAATTTTAGTTAATGAAAATAATGAATATCCTAGTGATTGATTGATGAGTGATTTTCGGATAAATAAAAAATTACATTCATTACTCACTCAATATAGTACAAAGGTATTTTATTTACTTTTCTTATTTTTCCCGCCAAACGTTGGATTGCCATTATAGTCTAGCGTCTTGGGATTTCGGCATGCAGAATAATCTTAATTTCTTATGCCGCCATTTTTAATTTTTTCCGCTAAGGGCAACGTCAAAAGTCATAGATGACTGACGTTTGTGTTTTTTTCGTCAAAAGCGACCGTACCGTGGCGAGCTTCTAACGGATGCCCTGCGTGCCGCGTAACAGCCGCCGCGGATTACCAGCCCCTCGTATAGAGGGCCATGAATAAATGACTTAATATGCTCTGTGGAGAAAGCACGGCCGCCGTATTTGTAACAGATGCCGTGTCGCGAATCGAATAGGAAACAATGGCATTGGAAAAGCCCGCGTATCATCTCGGTAATAACGCGTGCGTTATGTATCGTTAAAGGGGTAGGCAGCTGATAGTTTTAATTGTTAAAGTTTGACTAGGTTTATGAAATTCGTTTGATTGTCAAGTACCTTATGTGTCTTTTCTAATTGCCACTTCAATCAAGTGTCTTTCATAATGAAGTACGAAAAGGAATTTAACGCGATTGAAGTGGCAATTTTGGAGTCTAAATACTAAATTCTAATGTTAAACGCGTTAGGGCCTTTACCTAGGGAATTACCATTGTCTAATAGAGGACCTCCGTGGGTCAGATTGGTACCACAGTTAGCACGACTCAAGCTGAACATGCTGTTGATTGTTTTTAATAGGTTTAAGGTGCCAATTAAAAATATATAATTCCGGTTGAACTTCTTTACATGGAGGAATGGCATCTGATAAATTTGCCAAGGTTCTCAACCGGTACAGTTACGCAACGCACACCCCGACTCCGTCGATGTCCTGTCGATACTAGTGTTTATTCACTGATTATCGGCATACGTTCATATTAAAGAGATTGATCACTTCATAGTATAAAACAAAGTCATCCCGCTGTCTGTCTGTCGCTATGTATGCTCAGATCTTTAAAACTACGCAACGGATCTTGATACGGTCTTTTTACTAGATAAAGCGATATTCGAGATTGTTTGTATGCTAGAAAGGATATAACAATTGATGCGACAAGCATTGCTTCAAATGCTAAAAAAACAATGTAGATAAAAGACGTTAAGAGTTTCGTTGCTGTGGCAATCAGCCGCGTAGCTTAGTAGTTAGAAGGCCCCACGTTCGTTTCTCACAGCGGCGACAATCTTTTCGTACTTTTTCTACATATTTTAATAGATAGAGATTCAAGAGGAAGGTTTATATATATGATACATTGCATGCGCGCGAAGCCGTGGTGGGTTGCTAGTTTACCATAAAAGAACAATACAGTTCAATTGAAACGCAATAAACACAAAGGAAAACCATCAAAATATTTTCATAAGCAACCGTAAGATTAGTCCACACTTTCCAAAAGCTAAGTGGTTTAGTTAAGTAAACACAGCAATGGTTTGACATTTCCATTATAACTCCTCCATTTAAGTCTACAAAATGGTGAAGAAATAAAAATGTTTTCGATTACAAATTACTTTACCTACTTCGATTCGGAACAACGCTACAAAAATAATCGAAACGATATGGGATTGAACTGACGCCTTTCGTTGCCAACCAACAAATCATCCGTAATCCAACAAGCAAACATCGGTAGGGTGCACCCGATATTACACGCAGTTGTAATCGCCTGTAATTCATAAGTGTACGCCAGTTAGTTGAACATGTGTTCCGAATATTTGCTATCATTGATATTTATTGATGACGTAGCTTACGAAAGTTATCATACACCGATTTGATAACTCCGTGGAACAGTTGCCAGGGTATTAATTTCGGCGGAGGTTCTTTCAGCACAGGATAATATTATCATAGAGTAAGGGGCAATCTTTTCGAAGTGACTACAATAGATCTTTAAGGTAATAGGCAGTGGTTGTTCGTTACTACCCAACCCCAGCCACGCGAAATACAAAATAAACGGACTTCTTGTATTTACCCAAATAAAGTACATGGTTGAATAAAATTATTGTATGGTGGTCATGAGGCTATGGTCAAGTCTGTCCTGTGATCACTGACGCCCGGTTTCTGAAACACTGATCACTGTAGACGTCAATTAATCAGCTGTCAAATGGCTATTCATATGTCATTTGACATGCCAAAAGGATGGTTGAACTCTTTGAATTGATCGTTAAGATCATTCTGGTCAATTCAGAGTTTAACCATCGTTTTGGCAACTAAAATGAAATTTGAAAAGCCATTTGACAGCTGATTAGTTGACATCTAGGATGATCAATGCTTCAGAAACCGGACGGAAGCGTTTGAAACATCGCCATTTCGTAAAACGCGACAAAGTACGTAAAATTATTCTATTATACCAGTTACCATACACGATGGGATTACGTATTAAAGAACGCAGCGAGGGACAGTTTCTCTTACATATGAAATTTCTAGTGTTTACGCGAAATACACATTACTTAATGGAACTATAGTTACAGATGTTTGATGACTCCGTGGCGCAGTTGCCAAGGTATTGGATTCAGCGTCGGCGGTCGTGGGTTCAATTCCCACACCGGCCAACTATTTGTGTAACCCATAGATAGTTGTTTCGTATCTGGGTGTTTGTCTGCGTGAAATTTATGTTTGTGAAACGTCCATACAACACGGGATAATGTTATCCTAAAGCAAGGGCAATGTTTTTTAAAAGAAAAAAAAATTGTGTGAATTGTCCAAAATATGGGTAATGATAAGTGTAACTAAGTAGAAAAAAATTCAGCCATCAGCGAAATATTCTGGTGCATAATAAAAAACTCATTGTCAATCCCTTACGACCGCGCGGGCGGAGCCCCATAAATAAAATCCCGAAGTGTGTATTCGCATCGCATAATTAATGTGGCGCTCTAAAACTCCCTCCCCCCGCCAGGTGTGGTTCAAGAACCGGCGGGCGAAGTGCCGGCAGCAGCTGCAGCAGCAGACCAATACGCAGATCGCCAGCAAGTCCAGCTCCAAGGGCTCGCTGCCGAGCAACCCGAAGGGCCCCAACGCGCCCAAGCCCACGCCCAAGTCCCTCGCCAGCTCGACCGCGCAGAACTCCAGCGTGACCACCTCCTCGCCCAGCCTGCCCATTACGCCTACCACCTCCGTCAGCCCCCCGATAAACGTGATCTGCAAGAAGGAGAGCTCCAGCTACGACCCCCTAACGAAAAACAACTCCAGCCACCAGTACTCCGAGGCGCTCAGGCTCACCGGCAAGGAGCCCTCGCCCTCCGAACCCAACGTGCACGGGTACGGCGTAACCCCCAAACAGGAGCTATACAGCAGCCCTAAAAGACTGGACTACGGCAAGATCGACTACGCGGAGAAGTCCTTCGGAAGTGGGCTGGTCAAGGAGCAGTACGGCTCACGGCTGACGGGCAACCTCACCCCGCTGGGGTCCAACTCCTCGATAATGACCACCCCCTCGCCCCCCATCACGCCCCAGAGCGTCAACGGCCCGGGAAACGTGTACCCGGACTATAATAGCTTCCACTGGCCCGGCGGCTCCGACTACATACGCGGTTACTCAACTTCCCACCACCAAGGGTATGGGCAGAGCGCGTACAATTCCCCATATTATCCCAGTCAGGTGAGAATTATTATTAACTAATTTTCCAGTTCTAATAACACGAGTGATCGACTGGCGTAGTGAGTAGTGGACCGCTAGTGTAGATTCGATTCCTACTACAGGCAAATGTTGTGTGTGTTTTTAAATGTCTGGGTGTTTATTTATGTATAATATGTCAACATTTACCGAATGGCTGTCGTGAGTATTACATATTTGGTTGCATCGTACAGTCGAAATTGTACGATGCAAATCGCAATCATCATTTGAATACTCATACTACTTTGAATACTTACTAATAGTATTTTTTGGAAACCAAGCGATATTATAATTTTGTCCTATAACATTGTCCTATAACAAAGTAAATATAACAAGAGATATTAGTTTTGCCATGGAAAAGGTGGCAAAAGAAAACGGGTCACGATGGTAAATGATCACCGACCAAAGCTCTCTTCTCGAAGTCGCAAACCTTTGGGTTTTAGTCTTCAACCGCACTAAAAACATCACATGATTAAGGACCACCCCCAAGGTTTGGCAACGCACTAGCGCCTCAGATATACGTCCAGTAATCACGCAATATTAGGGAAGTCGAAAAAATATCCTTATATCGATATTCAGAAAAAAAAAAAAAGTTAAAATTCACACAGGAGGTTCAGACTCGGTAGTATAATCGTGTATTGAAATAAAAACAATTTTTTTCATTCAATATCGAAAATCGTATCATAAACGATACTATTTCAAATTCGAATCCGGCACAGAGTCCGTATGCCTCAAATTTTTAAAACTGAAATACCTTTTTTTGGACGAAGGGGTTTCCAGGACTATATGCGATATGTCGATATATTCTCTTCGATATATCGAGGCCGATATTGGTGTTTATAAATATCGATGCATCGATACCCTTTGGACATCCCAACCCAACATCGGGCGCACCCCCCGTACAAAACTTGACCGCCCCCTCCCCCGCCAGATGGAGTACTTCAACGGCGCGTCCGTGAACCAGTCGCACGGCGGCCACCACGGGCACAACCTGACCGCGAACGGCAACCAGCTCTACAACCAGGTGTCCTTCGGGAACCCCTCGCCGCCGGGCGCGTGGCCCACCCACAACATCCTCTCGGGCGCCGAGTCCCCTGAGAACCAGCAGAACCCCCCCCACCTCAGCATGCTGCAGGCGTCGCAGATCACGAACTTTCCCAGCTCGGGTAACGCGTACTTCGCCCCGGAGAAGTACGGAATCAACATGGTGTAGTGTCTCTAGTCCCGTTTCGACGTGTACATAGCGGTAGTGTGAAGCGGTGGGTATTTTCTAATGTCGAGCCCGCACTGTGACGGGCCGTGTCGCTCTCGGAGCTATTTAAAAAGAAAACAACCGAATGTCTATGGTCTCGCGAGACCGTTTCCGGATATCCGTTCGATTTTCGAACTCTCAGTGCGCTCGCGTCACTCGCGCGCGGCGGTCGCGTCCGAACGCGCCGTCCGTTCGAAATTCGCTCGGAGATCCGATGTAAATACATATCATTCAATCGTCTTCTAGTCTGAAAATGGTACAGAGCGAAATAGTCCGTTCACAGTTCGGTCGATGTTAGAAGTGAGTATTAAAAAAATGTGGTTTTGTCTTTTGGTATGTTTTAAATTAAATGTTCGGCCGAAGCTCGGAGTCATTCTCGCGCTTTGATATTTTCGCGGGCTGCCTGTCGTGTTTGGTTTTTACTTTGCACGCGATAGATGTAAAATTTATTTATTGTATATTAAAACGGAATGAGTTCCAGTTTCGTTTGGATGGTTAATTTATTTCCGATCAAGCGCTACTTGTGGTCTATCGAGGTCTACGAATAATGAGAATCAACGAATTTTGTCACTTTAATGGCCTACTATTGAATCGAAGCTGTCTTCGCCGTAATTGATATTGTAGATGTATAGAGAATTGTTTTAGTTTCTAATGCTTCTTTATTCTTGTAAATTCCCGAGTCATATCACTTATTGTATGTAAATTAAATTAAGATAGGTTGAGGGTCGATTCCTGCTTCTAATAGACGACACAGCTGCGGATAAACGAAATAAGTACTAAGTTACGTTCATAACAGCTTACTTAAATTAATCCACCGAAGGCTAGAACAAACGATATATTAGATTTTTTGTTTAGAATGTGGCGACATTGTATAATGGCGGGATTTTTTTTCGGAAACTGAATCAGCTGAAAATAAACAATCCGAACGCTATATATAATAATACTAGTAATAGAAATAGACCAAAAAAAAAAAACGAAAGCAATTCGAAGTTCGATCGAAAAAAAAAGAATCCATCTATTGTCTATTCTCTTAAAAAGCGGTTTTTCGCCACAGATACTTCTAACGCAGTGAACGATTTGTTTTTTTAAACCCTTCCCGCCATCCATTCGACCACAGAATATGATTGGAACGCAGCATCCGCAGATAGAGGCTAAAGTATCGATCCTCAACCGCGACGTTCGCTGGTAACGCGTAAACATAGTCTATACGATTGTATATATGTGTTTTAAGTAATTTTATTTTATCGATACTTTATTATGCCGATTTTATTTCGATGGACGATTTGTATATGTGTGCTGCATTTGTATATGTGACTTGTATTGCGTAGTTTTAAGGGTGCCGTTCATAATAAACCAACCAAATCAAATTGTGCGAGTCAATTCTCGTGTTCAACTGAAAATATTAATGTACAGCTGTATAATGAATGTTTGCTTACGCGGCCAATGGGAGCGCCGGATTTCTCTGGCCGCTGATTGGCCGATCGACCATCCATTCTTCGCTTCGTTAGTCTGAATTGTTTTTGCCTGTACTAAACTGTTGTTTACAGGAATTCCTAATTGACACTTTATGGGTTTTTACGCAATAGCAACTCCTAAAGGGGAAAAGACGGAGCGCCATAGTGCTCCGCTATTTTCTATACTTACAAAGAGATTATTAGTTTAATTATTTAATTTTTATAAATTGTAGTCCGATTTTGGGATGTAATGAAATGTTGTAATTTATAGTAATTTTAAGCTTGGAGTTAGCTAAGTTAGTTACTATTAAGTAAAGTCGTTGTACTATAAGGCGTTCGATAATGAGGTCGGTGTAATTTTCTTTACATTTTTAAGTTAAACCTTATTAATTATTAATTGATAGCTATTGAATTATTGAATCCGAATATATGCATACAAAATACAAAATTCGATTTGTTTTATTTGAAACGTGTGTACCAACCGTAGCTATTGTGCTTTTACATTCGATGACTCCATGGCGCAGTCACCAAGGTATCGGCTCCGGCGTCGAGGGTCGTGGGTTCGATTCCCACACGGGACAACTATTTGTGTGACCCACAGATAGTTGTTTCGCATCTGGTTGTTTTTCTGCGTGAAATTCATCTTTGTAAAACGTCATTACAACACAAATTATAGTATCCTAAAGTAATGACAATGTTTTTTTTTAATTTTATAATTTTATATAAAATATTAATAAAAAATTATAATTTATATTAATAAAAAATATTTTGCTTTCTAGAAATATACTACTGTTTTATCGCGCGTCCAGCATGGAGCCCCTACATGCACCATCAACAATCCCCTGGATGGATGATGTATTAATTTCATGAGTAAACTCTAACCTTTTTGTAGCGATTGTTTCTAATTCTATATATTAGTGGTTAACTTTCTTTGACCCGTATAACATTGGATAAAAGAATACAAAAAAATATCCTTCCTTCCCTTTTATTTATTTATTTATTTTATCTTTACTTCCACCCTTAAATAAAATAGTAAGAAACAGCGCAGTCAAAGCCCAAACGCATTCCCACCAGTCAACGCAGGATGTGGTGAGTACGGTAAGTACAGCAACGGATGCAAAATTTGTAATATTTTAAAGGATAATAATAAATTTAAAATGTAATTTACATAACATATAAAAATAGGGAATAATTAAAAAAAATAATAACAAAGAAACCTTCCGTTTTCATCCTTTCGGACTCTTATGTTTTTTTAAGTGAGAAGATGGCAACCGAGTTCACCTGATGTTAAGTGATATCCGCCTCCCATTGACATTGCAACACCCGTGCGGTTTCACATGCGCCACCTTTCAATAGTGGGCCCCGGCTACCTCACTCATTAGACGAAACGCAGAAGAACACTTCCACTACACGCCGAGATCGTGGTACTTTCCCGGGCGGACCTGCCCATTCGTTTAACAGCGAACCTACCACCGTAAAATAACGTCAACTCTATTTTGTCAGTTCAGTGAACACTTGCCCAAGAACCCTTAAGACACTGGCATTGTGCTCAAACTGAACACTGGACACTTTCTCTACTCCTTTGCTTTGTGGTAGATTAAAAAAAATACTATCGATAGATGAAATGTATGTTTCTTATGTCGATGATGATTTTGATTTTCTGATTCTGCTGATCGTCTTACCAACGAAGGTTTTGAGAAGGTGGATATAGGTCCTCTAGAGATGTCTACCTAATACTGCCTAACTCGCCACAGTGCGATGGACGTTTGTATATAACATGGATGGCTATAATAAAAAATATATTTCGAACATATGAAGCCTGCCATTCCTCAGTGGGGTCGAGTGGTGGGATAAACATAGACCATCACGTGACCCGAATGCGGACACCCTCTGTATAAATGAGGCCTTTGCCCAGCAGTGGCACATGTAAAGGACGTTACTTAAAGTTGCTTAATGATACGAATAAAATAGAAATATTTCGATGTCCAATTGCCTGCCATTGCAACGTTATTTGTCGAAGAACATTTATGTTCTTAAACTATGTAATCCCTCCACACAGAAATACAACCCATAGGAACTCTGCGTCTGTGTCTAATTCTGGGTACATTGCACCTTAAACGATCGATTGCAACTACCACTTGGTCTATCCCACTTTCCTCAGGATTACGTGACAGTTGGAGTGTATATTGAATATTTAAGCAGTACAGGTGGAACAGCTGTTTTTTTTTTATTTTTGAATGAATTATAGCATGAATAATTAAAATCACAAAACACATATTTATATTATGAATGAACATTAATTTTGAGCAATTATATTTTAAATTTTGCGACGATAATACCATCGAACAAATGATATCAAAATATTAACATCACCAACGCCATTGACAAAACAAATGACATTGGCATGTCGGTGACGTAAAGCTATGAATTTTCCCCAAAATTCAAAATTGTCCATAGAATTTTTTACTTCAAAACCCCCTGATTTAAAAAAATCTTAGATCATAGTATAGATATTGCACATACAAATTTGAAAAAGATGAATGAAAATAAAATGACATATTATTTCTTATAATTTTATTATTCTTTTTCTTTTATCACATTTTCATGCATTGTCATCCACCTCTGTGCTATGTTCAAATTTCAAGCATCTAACACATCGCTAAGTTAGTTATCATCGGTTATCAACGGTGGTAGGGCCACGCAGCAGCCTCGGCTATTGCACGAATGGGCATACCCGTTCGGGTAAGTACCACAACCTCACAGAAGACCAGCGTAAAGTGGAAGTATGACAACTACTTTCGCGTTTCGTCTGGTGAGTGAGGAAGCCGGAGCCCAATTTTCAAAAGGTTGTCAACGCATCTGTAACCCTCGGGTGTAGCAAATGTCCATGGGCGGCGGTGCTTACCATCAGGTGAACAGTCTGCTCGTTTGGCAACTTTCCACATAAAAAAAAAGTTAAAAATTAGTAACAAAACTCCACCCGGACAGAAGAGATACACGAAAGCGAGTTAATAAAAACATGGTACCTTACTGCGTGGAAGTGACTGGAAACTGACTGGAAATACACTGAGGTAGAAAAAAAAGAGACCAATGCATGTATGAGTATGTGTGTGGAAGAAGAGAAAGTATCATGGGATGTTCTGCTTTTTAATAAATGTGAACTGTCGACGACGGGTACACATTAAATATAGGATTATACAGCCTTATTGACTAATATTAACAGTAACATTAACTTTCTTCCGAATTATGTATGTTGTTTTTTGGTCCACCTGATGTGAAGTGATAACCGCTGCACAAACACCGTTAAAATTCTGTCATATTTCTGTATTCCGTCGGGTCCGAGTGAAAAGTTTGGTCTTTTGACACTCTACTTCGTGGCATGAACAATTTTAGAATTAGGAAATGGTCAACCAGTCTTTCCTATTCACCCGACTGAAATAAAGCCAAAAAAGGAGGGTTGTGTTTTACCTGTATGTATGTGCGTCCAATGATCCCTCCTAACTACTGCACGATATGCACTACTATGTGGTCACATTCATCTTTATTGCGCGAGTGTCAATGGGAATGTAGAAATTATACACAAAATGGCAGATTTCTGGTGTCAAGATGTCTTAAAAAATCAGTTTCTTTAGTTGTTGGCTTGATAATAAGCTTTGTCATGCACCCGTGCGATGAATGAAATTGTTTTTCTTTCGAGCTAGACAATCCTGTTCCGACCAATTATGCCGCCTGACGGAAAACATTCTGAAAGGCCTTAATCACCCCAAACACCTGAGCACCGGGAGTCTCTTTTTCGATGTCGCAAAAGCCTTGGTCAAGATCTGGCACAACGGCTTGCTTTACTAGCTGTTCGCGTCCAACTTGCCAGACAGACTCGTCTACACCATCCGGGTCTTCCTGTTGAATCGCTCCTTTCGATACCGAGCAGAGGGCACCCTATCTACGAACCGCCCTCTCAGGACGGTCGTTCTTTAAGGCTCTCCCCCTTGCTTTTTACGCTCTACACGAGTGACATACCAAAAGACCCGCTCGTCAATCTCGCGCTTTTGGCGTATGACACGGCGCTACTCGTCTCCAAAGCGCCGCCGATCGCCTCAGCGATTGGTTCCGCAAATGGTGAACATTTAAAAGATCTCACCAAACGATTCTTCGACAGAGCCGAACATCATCCCTACCCTCTGGTGGTAAGCGCAGCAACCCGACACTAAACACGAACGTCAACAAGGGTCGCCCGCGCAACGTCTTCACCGACCCGGTCGAGGAAGAGGACTTAAGTACGTCGGACCCACCATCAAGGGTCTCGCAACATAACACTAGACCCTCAGTTAGTGCATCAACAAACACCATAGTTGATATTCGCCTTCGAGCACGGCGAAACCAACAGAACGCGTACACCCGTGTTCCAGGGCGGTTCTCACCGCCCCCTGCCACCGACTAAACAAGCACAGTCAACGGCCATCGGGGTCACGGTCCTCACCAACCTCGATGGCCCGTAGGCGCCAACTAACGCACGCATGAGTACATGCATGGCCCTACCCACTGAGAAGGGCCTCAAACCCATGGGTTCTGGCTAGCCCACCGGTTCTAAGTTCGATGAAGCTTTAATAGTCTAAGGACTAAAAGCGTAACATCTATTATACAAAAAAATATGTTTTTCTTCCTTTCCAAATCCGAACACCGTGTAACATCATACATCCCTAATTCATACTTACATCACTACTAATTGTAATAAAATCTCTGCACTGAACATTATACTTCTTAAAGCCTACCAACCGCCGCCACCTCTGCCTTCGTTTCTTATGCACAAGTTGCTATTACATGCATGGAAAGATCGAAATCCAATTTATTAGTCCCAATTTCGGTTGAGAGAAAATTTTGGGCCACCGAAAATGTAATCCATCTGTAAATTGAAACACTGAATTATTACATTGCTCTACGTAAAACTTTTATAACGTAGTCTGACAAAATAAAATATTTATTAGTTAAATATATTGAACTAATAATAAAAAATGAGGTATTAAAAAATTTAAAAAAAAATTGCAAAGAGAAAAATGAATTTAAAAAGTGAAAAATACAATATATAGTGTACCGTACACTAGGCGTGGCCTGTGTAGTGAGTTTCGTTCCAACCCAATAAGATTTCCAATAACTAATAGCGCAGGGGTTTTCAATGATAACAAACGAAATAAAACATCGAATAAACAAACAACTATTATTAGAAACGCATATAAATTTCAAACTATATCGGAGACCGTTCCAAAACCGTCTATTCATAAAGATCTCCAAACGTTCGTCTACACTCAATTGTATTTATTACCCTTAAACTAATCAAAATTCATTGATCCCCTTTAATATAAAATACTAATGTAAAGAAAAGCCTGCATACGTCCCACTACTGGGCAAAGGCCCCCTCTTTAGGTTTTAGGGCATACTCTACTACGTGACACCAACGGCTTTTTGGCAGACATCGTTTGTTTTATTATTATTTCGAAACTATGCATGCTTACATGTTAGGAGCGACACCACCAAAATCCTTTAGAATACATAAAACCTTAAAATTAACACATAAAACCTTAAACTATGTGTTCTAGATCTAAAGGTATAAAAACTTAATCTTAACGAAACGTGTAGAAGATCCAGATCATGAATGAAGAGAGATGCAGAGTCCTAACAACATCGCACTGAAAATATGAAGAAATAAATTTAAAGCACAATACGAGTTCGAACAATCTTGCAAATGATATTTATAATATTCCTCATGAGGGAAGGTAAATGGGCAGACAATTTACCTGATGGTAAACTGTCTTCCCGTTTACCTTCAAATATATAAGTATAATATAACTAACGACCCGCCCCGGCTTCGCATGGGTGCAATGTATTATACATATAAACCTTCCTCTTCGAGATCCGTTGCGTAGTTATAAAGATCTAAGCATACAAAGGGACAGACACACAGCGGGACGACTTTGTTTTATACTATATAATATAATATTTGAATAGCACCATAGATATCTGCAAATGGAGAAATTGCAGGAGATTTGTCAAACTAGAAGACGGCATCTACCTTACTAACCAGTACTAAAGTAACACGGAATAATTTCTCCTTAAGGCTGGTTGGTCTTTTGGAAGGCGTTGGAGATGTGACGCTATGACTTTACAGCGCCCGCTGTTTCCTGGGTATGGTGACAGGCTCGTCACCTGTCACGTTTCGAACGAATATCCCGGGAAATACGTGCAAAGAAATCTCTTTCAAAGCCGTGACAGTTTCTTCGAATAATTTGTATACGACAAAGTAAGTAAAAAGCAAAATTAGTAAACTAAAAAATTAGTAAACTAAAAAATTAAGTAACAGCCTATATACGTCCCGTGAGAGCCGTACTAGCTCAGTGCCAGCAACCTGAGTGCGATAATAACGATTTGTTCGATTTTTGTTCGATAATTACAAAAAGAAATATTTCGCAGATATGCGAAGTCCGCTAATCCGCAGTGGGGCCGCGTGGTGGCCTATGCCCTGATACACTTTGTACAGAGGAGGCCTTTGCCCAGCAGTGGGACATGTATAGGCTGATACTATATACGTTCCACTGCTGAAAATAAAAAAGTTCACCCGGTCGAAAGTTCTAAGGTAACAAACATAAAACAAAATACAATCGAAACGAGAACTTAACTCCTTTTTTGAAGTCGGTCGAAACGCCAGCGCCCACTTTTGAAGCGACCTAAAATCAGTTTGCCTCGAAGGGCATCACATCCGACATAGGAACGTGACATAGGAACGAGACAGTCCTCGTATCGGATGTCCAGCGACGTCGGCGGGGACGCGCGCGGTGGCCAAACGTCCGGGCGATAGCGGGACAATCCTAGAAGTATTTTTGTGTTATTAATATTATCTATACTGTGGTAGGGCCACGCAACAGTCTTCGCTGTTGCACAAATGGGGAAGCACCGCGACCTCATAGAACATCGCCGTGAAGTGGATTTTATACTTCTGCGTTTCGTCTGGTGAGTGATAGCCGGGGCCCAATTTATTAAAAGGCTAAAGGCTAGGGCTCCATTCACACGTGCACTGCTCACCCTAAATGAGGTTGCCGACAGAATTGACCTGTTTTCATCATTTCTGTGGAATGATTTTATAATAGTATCCCATTACGTGATATGTTACTCATAAAATTATAAGTATGATTTTTTTTCTTTGTGTATTACATTCTTACTGGGTATAATTGGTTTTATGGAATTGTTAGCTTTTATTTTCATGTTTTCTTTCGACTTTTTAATAATTTTTGCCAACACTATCGCATTGGGTCAGCCTGTAATGATAGTTGTGTAAGCGTAATAAATAAATAAATAAATAGATGGAGTAGCAATTAACCTCAGGTGCATCGCCAGCTCCCTTGCCACCTTTTCACATAAAAGAAATATGTATTTAACAGAATTACCACGTTTATTTTTTTATTTAAATTCCCAACGTTTCATCTCAACGTTTCGCTATGAAGCGATAATGCCGCCAAATTGTCCATTGCATAAATTTGTTGTTCTATTGTTACTTTTATGTATTATTTGTGGTGGTCAATAAAAGTATATTCATTCATTCATTCATTTCATATCATCATCAGCCCCAAGACGTTCACTGTTGAACATAGACCTCCCGCTTATAACGCCACAACGAACGACACCTGGCCATTTGTATCCATCGTTTCATTTCATTTAGTAATTCTTTTTTGTTCCAAGACCCATCCATACCCCCATAGTCCCGCAATGTTGCCACCCGAACGGAGTCTCGCCTTCGCGTGGGGCTTCAGGCGACGACCTATCGTGTTGCACCGACCGCTACTCACCTATTTCCCGCTTTCACGATTATTGTCCGCACTAATCTCTTTGTTTCCTTACAGTTTCGTTGTTTTTTAACAAATAAGCCCAATACAGGCCGCGAAAGTCGAAGAATGTGTGTGAGTGGGTTCGATTCCCACAGCGGCGACAATCTTTTCGTACTATTTCTACAAGTTTTAATGTCAATTAAAGCAATATCTTGTACATGTCGCACTGCTGGGCGAAAGCCCAGAGGGTATCAGGGCATAGTCTACCACCCGGCTCCACTGCGGACTGACGGATAGCAATCCAATTAACCAGACGTCTTTCTATATGTCGTATATATATATCGGGCCATATTTGCGCACGACCTTATCTAGTCTTCGCACAAAGCAAAGTTGTCCAAAAGTTGTCGTGAACATTCTTGTCTTTTTAAAACACAAACCGTTGCCAGTGCAAGAAGAATTATTAAAATCAGTTCGTAAATTAAAGAGTTCGGAGGTAACGAACATAAAAAAAACACAACCGAATGGAAAACCACCTCCTTTTTTGAAGTCGGTTCAAAAGCAACATGTTCATAGAATATTTTTGCACAAGTGAGGGTTGAATCCATAACCTCTGGCGCAGGAGACTTTCTCTGACCAATCTGGTCTTCAAATGTTTTCCTTTTAACGAATGCAACTCGTCCTAAATCCAAAGGGATGGAGATTCTATGAACTTTAGCATTCGCGTCAAATTCCGTCACAGTCTTTTGGGAGCCGACTTTTATATCTTCTTCTTTAATATAAGAGCTAGGCTCTTGTCGTTGCAGCATCCCAGTACTTCAGCTGTGTAACACACTCCATCCTTCCCTGTTCGTAGCCCTATCCTTTACCTCTATAGGAACCAACATTTATTTTCTTCTTTATTTGAGATGTATAGCCTATCCTCGGTCTCCCTGTTCCCCGCTTTCCGTCTATTTAAACATCATGCAGGGAAAGATAGACTTTTATATAACAATGTAATAATGTATTGTTGTGTAATGGATCGATTCTACCCAGGTATACTAAATCGAATTACAGTTGTTAAAATTTTCGAATTATATTATTGAATAATTATTCCAAAAGATGATTGTTTGAAACCATTTACGTACTTTTCTGCGTTCTTTACTATATTTTAGAAATACATTATATTTTTATTGTAATCTCTTTATTCTCGTTTCCAATCTGTAGCCCATTTAAAGCTACATTGCTAACAGAAAATAATAGCGCTTTCTAAGAATTGTCGCATGATTTGATGGACAAAACTATCCTGTTCAATGTTAGGGATTCTAACAGCTAATGTTATTAAATTCGTGTTGTTTTTATAAAAAACTAAGACCAACGGACACAAAGCCCCAATCAAAATTAACAATCACTAAATTTATTCTCTATCTTTCCATAAAAAACAAAAGCCTTTAATTTTCTTTCTCCCTAAAACTTCGGCCGCCCTTTTTCATTTTCGTACGTCACTATCGTGCGTTTTTTTTTATTAGTCCCGAGTCGAAATATTTGCCCAAAATAGAGGTTAATAAAAAAATCACACCTGACCACATATAATATGAGATTACTTTATGCCTGTGATTCCAAATTTATGCAGCCTCGCAGAACAAAGATATAGTACAAGAGTTGTTAAATTGCGGTCCAGTTTTTGAATTAAAAGAAATACTGTATAGACGCTGGTGGTCTCTTGAAATTAGGGAATATTAGGGAATATATAAGGGGATATATAAATATAATGATACCCGTGATAGCTCAGTGTCCGGGCGCTCGCCTTTAATTCAATACACTCGAGCAACCTGAGTTCGATCCCCGTCGCCGGCACCAATGAAATTGTTAATTGAAGTGCTTACTTACCACGTTCTCGGCGCTGAACGAAAACATCGTGAGGAAACCTGCATATTTTCGAAATAATAACAAAAAAAACTAAAAACGAAAATATGTGAAGCAAGCCAATCCGCAATGGGGTCGCGTGGTTGATTATGCCCTGACACCCTCTGTACAGAGGAGGCCTTTGCCCACTAGTGGAATATGTATAGGCTGATACTTTTAATTAGGGAATATCTTGAAATTATTGAAGAATACTTCATATTCAGTAGCCATGCGAATCATCGTCGGAAGGTATAGGTGTTCTTTGCGTGGATTCGTTATTTATTAACTCACGAGTAATTGTTGGAGTGGTCTTAATTTGATCACAAATTGCTTAATCCTCAAAGCGGAGGCTTATTAACTAAATAAATAAAACATGGTATGCTTGACACATATACATACGGCAATCTTGCAAGTCACATTGCAGGCGTATTCTGCTTTCATTGGGAGCAAACCGAATAGTCAAAAAGTTGATGATAGAACGCAGTAACAGTGACATTAAAGTAAAAGTAAAAGTAACAGCCTATACATGTCCCACTGCTGGGCAAAGGACTCCTCTATACAGAGGGTATCAGGGCATAGTCCACCACGCAGCCCCACTGCGGATTAGCGGACGTCAAATATCTTCGATTTTTTTTTGTTATGACTTCGAAAATATGCAGGTTTCCTCATGATGTTTTCCTTCACCGCGTAGCACGTGATAAGTAATAATGACATTAGTGCGTATAAAATCTCAGTTAGTTCTGCGATCGTGGACTGTTTGAAAGGTCTGTTATTATTTGTCAATAGTGATAAAAACAAATTTGTAATCGTAGTGTAGTCGAAGCGTATTTGACGAAAACTTTACCATAATATTGCTCACGACTGGGCAAAAATGCCTCCATAACATGTTGATAGGCTTGATACAAAGTCAAAATATTACGCTTTTTTTATTTTAACGCCGTACCGTTAAACAAGAACTTTTCAAAATTGTCGATTAAATGTAACTGTCGATCATTTTCACGGAAAACCAATGCTGTGTAACGTGTGATTTCATCACTTTGTCTAAATTTTCGTTTTTCTAAAGACTAGGCTGCATGTCATATGAACCTTTGCCTGTTCGAAAGGACGAATGTAAAAGTTAACTTCATTTGGTCGTACTTGTCATTGCCGCCGGTTCGAATTGACATTGGATAAATTAGTTTTTGTAGATCCATTATCTTCGACTGGTAAGTAGTTGCTTGGTTTTGTTCATGCCAGTGGTTGTTTTGTTTACGTATTTCGTTTTCTTATCAATTCGCTTTTTTACAGTGCATGGCTAGAGGTTGAAATCAGAACACGTTCCTGGTCGTATTATTTGTGATTGCTGTCTGGGAAACTCTGTGCTGGATTTGTTATCCCTCGTGGTAAGATCCTTTGTTATTTTCACTGGTTTCCTACTAAAATTGTAAAAGACTTGCATTGTGAATGTATTTAGAAATCTCACATGAAGGTAGGTTGAGAATTTATTGTCTCGTGTTTCTAAGTATGGTTTTTCGAATATCACAGGTGGATGCTGAAGGCATAGGTGGCTGGCAAGCTGGTCTGAGCTGCTGCTCAATTAAATATTGTTTGTTTTTTACCTCCAGTTGGTAAGTGTTTCACATCTTATAATTGTAGGTGGATTCAAATTCCTGCCTTTGTTAGTTCTACAATGTAGTGTTTGTTGGCAGGAGGTCTCCTATATACTCCCAACAGTGTGGCTGTATACACTACACTTGGCCTGGTTTTCTCTGCTGGTTCTGAGCTCAACGCTGACCTGTGCACACAGGGCAGGTGTCTCTGCGGTGACATAGATTTAAAATAACTACCTGATTGGACTTTATTTTTTAAATTGAATTGCATTACTTTCATAATCTTAAATTAATTTAATTATCTAACGTTTTTGTGGTCGCACAAAGTAATGTGTAGGTCCTATGTACTCACGACTCCCTGAGATACTTAATTGTATTTATTACAACAGTCTGTTCCTAACAGACAAGGCGCCCAACTCATTATTATTGTTATATTTTTTAAAATATATTGTATCTGAGCTAGTCCAGGGATTGTAACATTAAACTGAAGGGATGAATACAACTTCTTAACTGCTAATAAATCTTTTATTAAATCTCCCATCATTAACTACACTATCCCTTAAAAAACGTTACATTGGCGCCGAACGTGGGGCTGTACACACTACACTTGGCCTGACTTTCTCTACTGGTTCTGAGCTCAACGCTGACCTGTGCACACAGGGCAGATGTCTCTGCGGTGACATAGATTTTAAATAACTACCTGATTGGACTTTGTTTTTTAAATTGAATTGCATAAGTTTTACCATCTCAAATTAACTTAATTATGTAACCATTTATGGTCGCACAAAGTAATGTGTAGGTCCTATGTACTCACAACTCCCTGAGATACTTAATTGTATTTATTACAACAGTCTGTTCCTAACAGACAAGGCGCCCAACTCATTATTATTGTTATATTTTTTAAAAATATATTGTATCTGAGCTAGTCCAGGGATTGTAACATTAAACTGAAGGGATGAATACAACTTCTTAACTGCTAATAAATCTTTTATTAGTCTCCCATCATTAACTACACCATACAAAACTCCCTAAAAAACGTTACATTGGCGCCCCAACGTGGGGCTCGAACCCACACCCTGAGATTGTCCAAAATTAATAAAATGTTACACACAGTTGGCGCCTAACAAAAGGCGCCCAACTCATTATTATTGTGTATCTGAGCTAGTCCAGGGATAACATTAAACCAGAAGGGATGAATACAACTTCACTGCTAATAAATCTTTATTAAGTCTCCCATGAATACTTTCTCTACTGGTTCTGAGCTCAACGCTGACCTGTGCACACAGGGCAGATGTCTCTGCGGTGACATAGATTTTAAATAACTACCTGATTGGACTTTGTTTTTTAAATTGAATTGCATAAGTTTACCATCTCAAATTAACTTAATTATGTAACCATTTATGGTCGCACAAAGTAATGTGTAGGTCCTATGTACTCACAACTCCCTGAGATACTTAATTGTATTTATTACAACAGTCTGTTCCTAACAGACAAGGCGCCCAACTCATTATTATTGTTATATTTTTTAAAATATATTGTATCTGAGCTAGTCCAGGGATTGTAACATTAAACTGAAGGGATGAATACAACTTCTTAACTGCTAATAAATCTTTTATTAAGTCTCCCATCATTAACTACACCATACACTCTCCTAAAAACGTTACATTGGCGCCCAACGTGGGGCTCGAACCCACGACCCTGAGATTAAGAGTCTCATGCTCTACCGACTGAGCTAGCCGGGCTATAAAAACGTTACAGCTGTGTAACGACGTCCCGTGTAGCAGCGGCTAAATTTAAGAATTTAGATATTTACCAAAATTAACCAGTAGGGCATCGTGTAATAAAACAGTAAATGAATACATTTAACAAGGCATATGATAAACTTAAATAGCATGGCAACACTGGCCCTAAGATGTTTCATCATACGGATAATACTAATCACCTTCGAAGCACTTAGTTTAAAACTGCTTATTTTCACGTCATCTCAACTGGTATGGAGTAAGACGAGTATATAGAGTTTAAAATTTCAGTCATAGACTAGATAAAACCATGTACAGCCGTTTTACTTTTAACTTGCGTCTCGATTTTATCTATCGTTGTCAACTGCCATTCTTCCATAACAAAGAGAATCGCGTTTTAATATTGCAGAAGAGTGGAAACGCAACGCGGTGACATTCCATTTTCGCAAACGCTTAAGTGAAATAGCGGAGCGGTCGCCATTATTAAAAAAAAATGTTGAGAGAGAAAAGAGACACTGGAAAACTCGGTTAGAGTTCTCTCGAAATTAGCTGTTTAGACGCGACGGTAAATTGCGCTCTATACACAAGTATAAATATAACGCTCAGCGCAAACTTTACTTGTAGCATCGTAGATATTCCCTGGAAAATGTATTTTTATTTTGAACGCACCGCGTGCGATTGTGTAACGCGCGAAAACCGCCCAGCGCAAAAGTGCCTTTAGCGTCATTCGCTTTAAATTGAATTTGGAACGTCTCGTGTACAGACTTGAGACATTCTCGCCCGCCAACCGCCACCCGGACGTACGCAGTAGCATTGGCAGCTGTATATAGAGATGTATCTCTTTCCCTTTCTTGTTCGGGGCTTCGCGTGATAGCGCTTTCTCTATCGGGTGCGGAGCTAAGCCGCTTATCTTCGGCCCGCACGCCGCGCCCTCTCTACCCCGACGGCTGCTGCGCGTAAGGAGGTACATTCTGCAATGCCATTAAATATAAAGTAAAATATTCCATAGACAATTTTATATCGCACTATGCGGAAGACCATAATTTCAAGTGTATGCTTGTTTACGTGTCAATACTAACACTGAAATAATTTTAATAATAATTGAATAAATATAGGCGCTTCGACTGAGTGAAAATAATACTCTACAGTGTACAATATTGTAATGCATCTATTTCGTGAAAAAATTTATTATGTTCGCCATTTTAATTGTAGATATAATAAAATAGTATCGTTTTTTTTTTTTCAAACAAAAATTGTGACACAATCCAATGAAGAGTAATCAATTGGACGACAATAGCAAACTGTTACAGAATGAACCATCAACAATATATATTACAAGAGCGTCCTACCACTCTCACTCGATATCTCCCTATACATATATTATATTCATATAATTATAGCACGTGCACAGCCTCCGAACCTTCATACCTATATACAGACCGTGCCACCTCTACAGAATGATATCCAACTATGATGGGACAGACTTGTAGTTGGCCAGTACAATGTAAATGTCAATAAATAAAAAATCACTTTACTCTATATCTTCGCAAATTGAATTTGGAATCACTTTAACCATGTTTTTCTATTCGACCGAACATCTGGCAAATGCCGCAACAATTAAAAAATATAAAGTAAAAAGTAAAGTAACAGCCTATAAATGTCCCACTGCTGGGCAAAGGCCTCCTCTGAACAGAGGGTATTTTCTTCACGATGTATATTCTGTGTAAAAGTTTAAATAAAGAGCCGTGATAGCTCAGTATCCGGGCGCTCGCCCTTTAATTCGATATACTCGAGCAACCTGAGTTCCATTCCCGGTGGCAATTAAATTGTTAATTTCAAATGTTGAATTATCACGTGCTCAGCGTTGAAGGAAAACATCGTGAGGAGACCTGCATATTTTCGAAATAATAATAAAAAAAAATTTTTGACCATGGCCTGATACCCTCTGTATAGAGGAGGCCTTTGCCCAGCAGTGGGACATGTATAGGCTGATACTTTACTTTCCTTAAAAGTTTCAATAAAAAAAAATTTGCGAAAAAAAATAACAAAAAGAATATTTTGATAATATGTGAAGTATGCCACTCCGCAGTGCTTAAACAGTAGCCGAAACTGTCGTGTGGCTCTACAGTTTAAAGAAATTAACATTTAATATTTTTCTTAAAGAGAAAGGCAAAGACCGCGCTGTAAAATTCCATATAAATATTTTTATATAAATATAAACATTCATTCGTCCGTTACTTCTTTAATTTGGACGTTCATCGTCGGTAAGAGGAAAAATAACAGAAAAAACAAATAAATAAGCATAAACACCGATATATAGAATAAAAAATACAGGCTGCGTTGCGGAAAACTAATAGAGTTCATATCTCGTACCGATTAATTAGGTTAGTGGGGTGGCATTGACAAATGTGAATAGCACCCTCAAAATAGGCTTCTTATTATATTATTTTGCTTGCTAAAGCAAATTCTTTAATAAAAAGTAATAATGTACGTATTAATTCAGGTCATTACCTATCGTTTCGTCATTCATTACTACGGAGTAAATATACGAACAAGAACATATTTACAATGAAACGTTGTCATAGTTTATTACATCAAGTGATGCTTTTGTTTCGAACAGTATTTTTGTTAAAATACGTAGAAAAAGTACGAAAAGATTGTCGCCGCTGTGGGAATCGAACCCACGTCTTCGGAATTCGCGGCCTGACGCTTTAACCACAAACCTAAACGGCTGATTGCCACACCGACGAAAATCTTAACGTCTTTTATCTACATTGTTTTTTAGCATTTGACGCAACGCTTGGCGCATTCATTGTTAAATCCTTTCCAGTATTTTTGTTGTGAAAACGCGGCAAGCTAGAATTTAATTAACCTGATACTAAGCGATACCCACCCGTGGACATATAGAGCATTTATAGACTGCTGACGCGTTTCCAACTTAGGAACATACCGGTCTACTCTGAGGCCGTGGTACTTCCAGATGAGCCTGCCCATTTATGCAACAACGCCGCTGCGTAGCCATATATGGCATGACGAAAATATTTTTTTTTAATTCGTCTGAAAGGATTTGAGTAGAAAATCTGAATGACCACTGCGACCTAGAAGATCTATTGTAGTAATGATAAAGATGATTTTTTTTAATGTGAGAAGGTGGAAAGAGAGCTCGTGGTTCACCTGATGTTAAGTGATGACCGCCGCCGATGGACATTTGCAACACCCGTACGGCTGTAGATGCGTTGCCACCTTTTAATAAAGTGGGCCCCGGCTACCTCACTCATCAGACGGAACGCAGAAGAATGAACACCGTATGGATTTACGGTGAATGGAGCATCTACATATGTCAGTAGTCTTGATTAATATAAAAGACGTTTCTTAAGCTAATTAAGGGCAGTCAACCTCTATACTGCGTCCGGTTAACATCTTTTTGTAAAAAAAAATGTGTGTAGTCATTAAAAGTACTTTAAGGCTTTATGAAAGTGTTTTTTTTAAAGACCCACAGAACGCCAACCTTACAAAACGCAACTCAGACATTATTGCAGGTTAAAAAAGTACACGAAGCCCAACTAGCAATGAGGACTTGGAGAACAACGGAAAATAGAAGCATTCATACTGTTCTAATTTGTCTGGAAAGATTATCCAAAAGATTGGTACTCCACTAGTGTATTGATAACCTTTGGGCTATTATTTCTTACTATCATATAGGTTAGTTCCTACATCTTACCTATATGGTTATATGAAGGCAACGCTGACAAAATTCCATCCATCCTGCATCACTTATTGGAGGGATGCATCTTAATCGTGACTCGGTGCCGTTGTTAAGCTGTTCGCCTTGGCGTCGGGGGTCGTGGGTTCGATTCCGCGGAGTATCGCGGACTAGTATTTGCGTGACCCTCAGATAATTGTTCCGGGTCTGGGTGTTTCTTTCTCAAGGAGGGTTGACGTCAAGCAGTCGTAAAAATCATACCCAGAACAACTTACAACATGATCCACGTGTTGTGTCGTGATGAAAGTGCAGGATAAATAAATAAATAAATATTTTAGGACACATTTTTACACAACGTCCTCTAGTCCCACAATAAGCAACGATTGTACTATGGGTACTAGAGCACTGATAAACATACTTAATCATACTTTTCTTTTGTAAATAAATACATATTATAGATGTATACACACCCAGACACTAGAAAAACACTATGTTTATCACACAATGTTTTACCAGTAGTGGGAATGGAACCCGCACCCTCTGGCGCATGAGGCAGGTACACTGCCCACTACGCCACACACACTCACACATACACTACGCAAACACATTCGAGACGGAAGACTATCGCTCCTGTTGTTTAAGTTGTTAATAATTCTGTACCTCGAAGGCATACAAATAGTAAATCTATTCAAAATTATTTTCCTTACACCATTAAAATCGCAAGAACAAATTCTACACAATAGTATCAAGATTTAAGTCCTACGATACGACGCCTAATTAATAAAACATCCAATCATATAATATCATCATAATCAATAATGCATTCAATGATTCACTCCACGCGTTTTTGCCTCTCCTGTAAAGTTTGGTCTGTCGGTTGGTTTTGTCGCAAAATGCAGCTCTGAGGTACAGAATAAACCTCTGAGGTACAGAATTGATAATTCCCGTGAGCATTAAGATCTGTCGTCAGCATTAGATCACTTACCACCACGCTTGCCAACTTTTCACATAAATAAACCAGAAATGTTCTGCAGTTTATTTCCGTTTTTCTTCAAAGTTACACATTACATTATCAACACTTATTTGCGTCAATTGGTAAAATACGAATTACTCACGCTGACTTAAAATTCGTACTAATAAACTAATTAAACCTTTTTAATAAAGATTTTATGGCATGGTAAAAAGAGCTTTAAGCCATACATAATACCATTAAACAACCATAGACAATTATGATATTTCTTTTCACTGCAAACGTCAAATGAGACTTAACCTTCTGCCGCGTAAAAACGTTGCGGCCAACAAAAGCCCGCGCAAACGGAGTATCATGGCGGGGCATTTAATAAACTCGACCGCGTGCGGCCACTTCTCAGCCACTCATAACTAATTCAAACAAATGTTGTGGCATTATTAAAGCGTGCAATTGATTCCAGTGCACGCCACTTTGAAAAATTGCAGCGGATAGTTTGTCCTTTTTGTCCTTTTTTGGCGTTACGGCAATGTGTTCTTCTGCAATTACAGTGACAAATACGATTTGTAATTTACAAAATTGGTTACCGTAATTTTGTTTCTATCAAAACAAATTATTATCACTAAAGAACCATGTACAAAGGAACAGTGTTTCTCGAGTTGTAAACACAAACAGACAGACAGAAAGACATTGCGTATTATAGTATGTTCGATTGTCATTATTAAGGACCCATTATAAATTAAATAGCAATAATGGAAAGAGCAGTCTCAACGAAACATAATGCCGCTTAAACTGCGCATAGTTGTTCTTCTCCCTGACAAACAGAACCCAATAAGAAACACATTAGGCCGTGCAACGTATTCATTAGCGAGTAATTCCACCCGCGTCGATAGGGTGCCCATAACCGTCCGAATTAGTAAAACGGCGGGCAAATCCGCGCCAGACAATGGCGGCATTAGTGGGACCGAGAAGCGTCCCGCGCGAGGGGCGCGCTGTAACACAATCCGTGCACGTCAACTGTATTATTTATGGATTCTTTAACATGGCGGGGCCGTCGAGGGCCCTCGGGGTACCGCTCGAAAGCAAATACAACGGACATTTGGCGCGAGGAAGTGTTCGTTCTGCCTCGGTGGGCTACGAGAGGCATTCGAGCCCTTTGGACGGGCGCGGGCGAAATTGCATTGGGGGCGAGTGTGTCCCGGCCGTAGTTTCTACCTCGAGAGTGTACCCCTAATCTGATTTGATATCGATCGAATGCGGTATCGGTCGGTACGCTTCACCTGTATTTTGTACCGTCACCCGTTGACATCGGTAACACCTGTTGGGCACCTGGAGACTTCTCAACCTTTCTGGTAATGGTACTTCGTCGGACGAGCCTGGACATTCGCACAACAGCGGATGCTGTGAAAATAAAATAGTGTTTTAAACACTATTTTATTTAAAACACTATTTTAAAGAGCGTAGGGCTATCCCTAAACGATGGCAGCTTCTTGCAGGATAGACAAGTCCATGGAGAACGATTAGGAAGGACGGACTATGAAAATCAACATAAAATGGAAGAATTTCTACGGGTCCATTTCGTCTGGTATGTGAGGTTACCTAAAAGTTGGTTACCATGAGGTTTTTTAAATTAGCACACAACAGCTGGAAGACTGCATTTTGACATTTTGTTTGATCCCTTCGAACGTTTCAGGCGAGATTTTGAAATAGAACAAGTCTTCAAATCGAAATATTGGATTTATCACGATAAACCGCCTAATAACCTGTACCTTTTGTTTTTTTTTTTGGCATCGGGGGGAAATCTTCAAAAGATACTTACCCTGGCATGATATGACAGGGTTATGTAGGGTTCGTACCGACTAAACCTCCTCGGTGGCCACCTTCATTACGTTTGGAGGCACTCCGGGATCTACTACGGATTGCACCGGTGTCCCTCAGTACTGCGCGTAATAAACCTTCTCCGATTCCTTCGCCATCTGACAGTAGTTGAGACCACTTCGTGCTGCTGCCAATCTGTGTCCCCTTTTAGTCGCCTTTTACAACAGGCGGGGGATAACTTAGCCCTATTCAATGAGCACATAACGGTAATTATTATAAAGTTTGAAAGTATATGGTTTGAAGTAATTTCATATTGTATATTTCTGTATTTCACTATATTAAGACTTCTACTGATTGTCATCAACTATAATGCCCGATGCGACATCATAGTAAAAATTAAAAGGGAATATTAGCAGTAGCAGCAGTTAACCTCTCTTATGGGAAAGTACTAATATAATTTCCTATGGATATCGAAATATTAAACTCGCGATCTTGGTAATTGCAATTATATCCTGTCGAACTCTTTATCGGTTATAGAAAGACTTAACTATAAATTGGTGAAATTTGTCGAAAACCGTAGATTGTTAGTTTATATTTACATATTTTGTGAATGCCCCTGAGAGTGGCATAATCATGTTTGATTAAACCTTTTTAAAAACAATCTAAAGAAGATATCTACGTTACTAAGCGATCGTAATTGCACTAGGCATGCGAAAATAAATACCGACCGCGCTTAATATTCCGAAAGATATAAGATGAAAAGGGAAAATAGCCCGGGAAAGAATTGCGAAGCCGAGCGGTGGTAACGCAATCCCGCGTATCGGACTCGGCTCCTAAAATGGCGCCAAATCGAATTGGGACGCTTTGCCGAGCGCGAAGAGGCCCCTTTTGAGAACGCGAAAATTCAATTTCTTATTACCATCGACAATCAGAGCGAAATCTCCGCCTCCTCAATGCCCGCGGACGGCGGGAACTTATTTGCCTGTGCCCCGATTTGGAAATGTCAATTAGTTTAGCTACGTCTCAGGTGTCTATGTATCTATATATAATCTATAGTGACCGATTTATGTTCTTGTTAATAAAAAAAATAACTTAATTTAATTTTAATATACGTAAAGCTAAGAAATCTAAGCAGTATCTACACACAGACATATTAAGGTAATATACAATAAACTGTTCAAAGCGAAATCACGCAAATAATTGTTTCTTAACAAATTCGCTTATGCGATCTCCTTTTTGAAAGCGCAAAAAAAAAACAAATTGGCAAATGACGTTTCGGTGTAGCGCTTAGTGAGGTGCCAATTCTGCTTTATCGGTAATTTTCGAACGATTTATCGAATTAAATCCGGGAAATTCTTTGATGCTGGCGGCCATCGAGCGTATAAACGACATTCGATTATCCAACTAGACTTTTCAATTTGCCGTCCCTTTTATCTGGATAAGAAATTGTTGGTGTAAGCATGGAACGAATTATCTATCTCGATTCAATATTAAATTAAGGTTTTCAAATAAGGGGTCGGGGGAGTTTCACGCGAGAGTAACTTTCATTCGGATAATGGTTTGGATTGGATCGAAAACTGTCTGCAATTCTGTGGTGTATTACATCATTTATAAATATGCTTAAAAAATTATTATTATAATAAATAGCTGTAATAGCTGTGACTCCGAGTCCGAGTTTCCTTGCATATTTCACGCACCAAGAAAGATCTAGAATTATTTATTACAAATTTAATAATTATATTAGGATTTTCAAATTTTACCTGCTTTTAACAGTTCATTAGTCATTGCTCGAGAACAAATAATTGGATTAAGATAGTTAAAGAAACGATAAAACAAATTTAATAGTAATATAACGACTGGGAATAGGACAGTTAAAAAAAACGATAAAATAGTCTTATTGACCATCGTTCTAATATCTGTTTTCCTACAGTTTACATAAAGTAAAATCATGTGTAAAAACACAGAGAATTCTGTTCACAATAGCGGTACGTGCCCCAATTTATTTGTATATTTATTTGAATGATATCGATTCGTTAATACTGATATAACTCTATTAAAGTAATATAGATGAGACGAGATCAAGCGGTTCGACTGTTACGTTGTTTTCGCGCCAAGTCGGACGATTAGCCGCCAATCCTCTTGATTCGTTCGATCCCAGGACTCCATTATGGGTCGCGTGCCCACTGCAAATAAGGGTAGAGGAGTTACTGACAGTATACAGTACGTTCCTAATTTTTTTTTAATTTATCATTCGTTACATAGACGATTTTAAGCACGCTGACATGAGCCCATGAAGCGATCGTTGCAAGCTACGAAACGTCATTTTAACTATCTGTGTATATACCTATAGGCTAAAAACATCGTTAATACAATAAATGTTGTAATAAAAATAGTATAAATCAATTCGTTTATAAAAAATACATATTATCAAATAAACCTTCCACGCGGCATGGTGCCAAGAACGCTAAAAATGTTACTTGTTTATTTTTTGATTTATAATTAACACCTATTTTATAAATACACTAACGACCCTCCCCGGCTTCGCACGGCTGCAATGTATTATACATATAAACCTTCCCCTTGAATCACTCTATCTAGTAAATAAAACCGCATCAAGATCCGTTGCGTTGTTTTAAAGATCTAAGCATATATAGGGACAGACAGACAGCGGGACGACTTTGTTTTATACTATGTAGTGATTATTACTTAAGCTTGATTCATACGTTTCGAATTAAAAAAATTAATCTTGAGTTTAAGTTTAATTTTAAAGCATATCTTATAAAAACATTATTCCATTAGATCGATTCATACATTTCAATTTAACAAAAAATCGAATCGTGAGTTTAATTTAAAATTTTAAGCAGCACTCTGTACAACGGGGTATAATGCGACACCGTAATTGGAGCATTTCATTTGCGAGCCACTTTTCCGCCGCGTGGCGCCGCGTGCGCGACGCGCTCGCATTCAATTGTCTATGCTTTAGCCCGCCATATTTTTGACAGGTCAGCCGATAAACGGGCGGGAACTGTCAACTGTTGAATTTCTACACGAGTGCATGGAGAAATTGGAATATACCGAGTTAAGGCTGTTTAAATGATTATAGCTGTTTCTGTGTTCAATCTATATCAATCTTCGGATGATTAAAGTTTATAGGAGAGTTTATAATGCCTCCTGCGCGGTAAGGGAGGCAGCTGAATTCATTGTCTCACGAATTCCCGGGGCGAAAGTAACCGTGACTAAGTTCCGTATGCGTAAGCCGATTAACCTATTTTTCCCGACGCGACGTGACCTTTCTCCGACGCCATGAGATACGCGAAAAATTCAATTAATTTATTTCGTCCATAGACCATTCAACAAACATGTTGCTGTAAAAAAATAATACTGTAGAACAAAATAATAGATACTTATCTTTATAATTACCGAAGTTCAAGACCTAAGGGAGTATCAGGTCGTCTTATAACGGGAATATGTTTGGGTATATCCTGTTATGCTGTAAATTTATTATTTGTTGACTTATGAACTTTGTAAATCCTTTGTGACATTAAACTTCGTGCAATCGCTTAATATTTCCAAGTTTCGTCCCAAATAATTAAAGTTTGTTAAAGAGTTTCATAGACGTCAAGTTGAAACTTTATCAAAATTTCATATATGTATAGAAACATATTAAAAATGACAAAATAATCGGAACATATTTTCATCACACTCTTTTTATCTATATCAAGACGATGTACATACTACCGGTTCAGATACATCTGGTTGGCTTCTAAGGACCGTCTGATATTACGAACCGTACTATTATCCAGCAGTTGAATACGGCTCAGAAGAGACGGTGGAGGCCGTCGAGTGAATTTGATTAAACCTTTTCTCGTTCAGGATAACCAACCTTCGTTCGTATCTAAAGCGCTAAATTCTAACATCGCATTGGAAAACTTCTAAATAGACATATTATAAATATTATAAATAATAAACATATTATTCGCCCAAAGTTAAGTCATTACCGTCTATAGTCCCTGGGAATATGTTATGGATATGGTTCACGCTTAGGGGTGGCAAATACATCGGAAAAAGTACGAGTTATAAAAGGTTGATTCTCCAAAAATACGTCCCTGCGTTATTTTACATTTCACGATGCTCTTAAAGATTGACAGTACTTTTTAGACTAATCCTAATAACATCCCTGCTATATTATGGGCGGTGGTCACTTACGATTATGTGAATCGTCTGATCCTTATACTTCATCTACGACGTAGACCCTGGTTCAATTCCGAGTAAATTCCTAGGACGTAATAAGTCTGCAATATGACTGCTAGGGAGTGGTGAATACTGGGAGCTAATGTAAATAGTTCTTCTTAAAGTTATTTATTCTGTTTGTAAAAATTTTCTTTGTTTCATTTCTATATCCATACTGTATCT